ACACATAGCAACATAGTAACACACACACAGTAACACACAGTAACACGCAGTAACACACACAGTAACACACACAGTAACACACACAGTTACACACACAGTAACACACAGTTACACACAGTAACACACAGAGTAACACACACAGTAACACACACAGTAACACACAGACACATAGCAACATAGTAACACACAGTAACAAAGTTACACAGACACACACAGGAAGTGTCTGTACCTGAGAGTGAGCCCTGCGGGGCGTTGGGGGGCTCAGCTGTGGTATTTTTGGGGGCGGAGTCACAGACCCTCGTCCTTCAGTGAACCAGGATAATGGGACGAAGGAACGAGACGGACTCTGATCCCTGAAGATGAGGACGTCATGAGGACCATCATCAACATGATGATTTTACAATGTGACACTTACCTGACAGACAGTCTGTTGGATTGATCTGTCCTCACTCGGACATACGAACGTCTCAGAGTCACCCTGACACACACACAGACACACACACACGTTAATACAATATCATGATCTTCCACCAGTGTGTAACCATGTGATCCAGCGGCCAATCACTGAGGATCATTCTGACATACTGTCTGGATGTGTGTGCATGTGAGTGATTGTGTGTCTTACCCCAAGTCCAAGAACCGTCTCTTGGTTTTCTTGTCAAACACACTGGTTGGGCTGCCGGGGTCAGCTGGACTGGTGTCTTGACTCGTATCAGATACCAACACTGTCTCACACACACACACACACACACACACACACACACACACACACACACAGTCAGGAGTGTGTTTAAAGTGTGACAACACTGACTCAAAATCCATGATACCAGGTGTGTACAGACATGTACAGATGTGTTGTCAGGTTTGTACAGGTGTAAACAGATATATGTACCTTCACTGTCGGGCCTTCTGTTCCTCCTCATGTAGACAGGTGAACCTTTGGAGGAGTGGTAGGATTTGGAAGGCGAGGTGCTGGGCATCATTAGAGCCTCCTGAGACGTGGCATTGGTTAGCTGGTGGTACCGTCCCCGTGGGGGAGCAGCCAGTGACGTGCCTCTGTCTTCAGGAGAGTGACGCACCTAGGAAGTTGAAGTGAAGCCATAGAGGTTTTCATTCGTTCTTATCAACATTTTCTCTCTGGGTGTGTAACCCGTCCTGAGCTCTCATTGGTCTCACCGGAGACGTGTCAAAAGAGAAGGCGGGGCTTCGAGCAGAAAGCGAATCAGGAGGGGGGGGGGAGCCTCGCATGGCCAGGTGAAGGGGTGAGCAGTATAACTGACTGTCCTGAGAACACACACAAAACGCAAACGTTTTCTAAAATCACATCACTGATTTATTTTCTTGAAATAAACTTAATTAACATTTAAAAGATATTTTGATCATAAAGTCTATTTTTTTAAAGCTTGACGTCTTTCCCATGATGAAATTATTTTGAAATTTACTCCACATTACATATATAATGATTCACTGATTGGTTCATGTTTAACAACGCAACATAAAATCTGCACCTTCCTGTTGAGGCTGTCGTCTCCCTCCGTCAAGCTCAAGCTGTCACGGTGACAGGACCTCGAGGGGCGGTGCCTCCGGGCTTTAATGGACAGCTGGGCACGGCCTTTCTGGATGTTGTTGTCCAGAAGCTCAGTCTCTGGGATTGCCTCGTTCAGGTCTGAAACACCAAAGGTCACATTCCGTCCAAGTCACATGACAACACGAGTCACATGATGACGGGAGTCCCATGACGACGGGAGTCACATGACGACACGAGTCCCATGACAACTGGAATCGCATGACGACCGGAGTCGCATGACGACACGAGTCCCATGACGACTGGAGTCGCAT